CAGAGTTCAGACCCCACGACCGGACCCCAAAAAAAAAAAAAAAATATATATATATATATATATATATATAAACTCTGAATTCACTATATCTTAAAACCAGATTTGGTCAACCTCTCTAGTTCTGAAAGGGATTACAATAGACTAAAGGACTGAACAAATCTAGGTGAAATCCTGATTATTATTATTATTGTCAGTGATGGGGCTTGAACTCTGAGTCTGGGTGTTTGTCCCTCAGCTCTTCAGCTCAAGGCGAGTGCTCTACCACTTGAGCCACAGCACAATTTCCAGTTTTCTAGTGGTTAAATGGAGATAAGAGTGTCATGGACTTTCCTGCCCAGGCTGTCTTTGAACCGCTATCCTCAGGTATCAGCATCCTGAGTAGCTAGGATTATAGGCATGAGTGATCAGCACCTAGCTGAAATGTGAATTCTTTTTTTGTTTTTGGTCTTGTCAGTTGTGCGGCCTGAACTCTGGGCCTGGGCACTATCCTTCAACTCTTCAGCTCAAGGCGAGTGCTCTAGCACTTGAGCCACAGTGCCACTTCTGGCCTTTTCTGCTTGTGTGGTGCTGAGGAATTGAACCCAGGGCCTCATGCATGCAAGGCAAGAGCTCTACCACTGAGCCAACTTCCCAGCCCTGAAGAGTGAATTCTTGAACGAATTATTTAACCTCTTTAGTCTGTTTCCTTCATTTTAAAATGGAGACAAATTACTACCTCATGATACTGTTGTGAAAATTGAAAATTGAATATCTTGCTTAAAATCTGTTTAAGCCAATGCCTGGCCACAATAAAATCACTAAATATTAACTATTATATTTATTCTGCCAATACATATTTGGTCAGACCTGAATGATTATGACTGTGAACTGATTCACTTACAAACAGCTTGTATTGTGGGGTTTTCTTGCTCCTGACAGAATAAACATCAAGTATAAGTTTTTGGAGTGTACCAAAACTTCCATGGTATGGTCCTTTTTTTTTTAAATAATTGGTGATGGTACTGGGGCTTGAACCCAGGGCCAGGGTGCTCTCCCTTAGCTCTTTTTTCCTTTTTCTTTCTTTCATGCACATGGCCTAGGGTCTGTCTTTTAGTATTTTTGTTCAAGACTGGGCTCTAGCACTTGAGCCACAGCTCCCCATCTGTACTTTTGCTAGTTAATTGGAGATGAGTGTCATGGACTTTCCTGCTGAAGCTGCCTTCAAACCACAATCCTCAGATTGTAGCCCCTGGTGCATGGTTTCCACAATCTACTTTTATCTTTACTAGTGGAATAAATGTACAATCTAGTACAATTCTTTCAATAAGTAGTGAAGATACCTGTTGAATGAAAGTAATAATTCCCTATGGCATTATGGTAATGTAGGCTAACTCATCTATCATCTAGAGTAACTGCTTTCTTCACCTCTGATTCTCCTAACAACTCTGAATTCTGCTCTTGGTGATGATATTTCCCTCCTCAAAACCCTTCAAAGGTTTTCTATTACATTCAAGATAAAGTTTAAATTTTACATCCTGATATTTGAAGTATAATTTACTTTATTCTGCTGGAGACTTCTCATGATACTCTCTCCCTCTCCATTTCCTTACATAAATTATTTATTAGTCTTCTACCTCCAGGAAGTTGTTCCTACAGAATACCATTTTTAGCCATCTTACTAGACCCTTCTAAAAAGGCCTTTTTTTTTTTTTTTTTGGTGCTGGTCCTGGGGCTTGAACTCAGGGCCTTGCTCTCCTTGCTTGGCTTTTTCTTTTCTTTTTCTTTTTTGCCAGTCGTGGGGCCTGAGCTCTAAGCCTGGGCACTGTCCCCAGAACTTCAGCTCAAGGCTAGAGCTCTACCTCTTGAGCCACAGTGCCACTTCTGGCTTTTTCTGTTTATGTGGTGCTAAGGAATCAAACCCAGGGCCTCATGCATGCAAGGCAAGCAGTCTACCACTGAGCCACCTTCCCAGCCCCTTGTGTGGCTTTTTCTCCTCAAAGCTGGCACTCTATCACTTGAGCCACACTTCTATTTCCAGCTTTTTGCTGATTAATTGGAGAAAAGAGTCTCAAGGACTTTTATGGGTAGGTTGGCTTAAAATATTTTTCCTCAGATGTCAGCTTCCTGAGCAGCTAGGATTATAGGTATGAGCTACCTGAGCTCAGCTTAAAAAGCCTTACTTGATTCTGTCTTTTCTGTGTGACTGTTTTCCTGGTCTAGGCCTACAGGGTTTTTCTTCCTAGTCTCCTTTTATCCCAGCTGAGGACTCAGCCAGGAACGGACTATAGGCATAAATAGAGGAAGAGAATAAAAGAGATTAATAAACGGTTGATTATTTTGCTGAGAAGAGGTAACACAGGAAGAATTTCCTTCAGGGCCTTACTCCTTTCCCTCCAATCTACACTTAGTTTGGTTGTCTCCTCTCACAGTCCCAGGACTCCTTGCCTCTTCTTACACACAAACTAAGTTCTTTGTTTCTCTATTTTTCTGAAGCGAAGTTCTTCTCTGATTCTTTCCAGCCTATACCTTTCTTTCATGCTTTCTCTTACAAAGTTGGGGCTCTTCTCTTCTAGTCAGGATTGGCATCTCAAAAGCTTTAGGCTACTACAGCCATCCCTTCTCTGCCTTCTACATTCCCAGGAAGCTCAGCTCCAGAGCCTTTCCTCCCATTCCCCATAGGTCAGCCTGACCCTTCTCTTCCTAGCTGTGAGGCAAAGGGCTTTTAGATCTGATCTCCATATAGAGCCTGAGAAGTTCTAATGTTTTCTTTTCTTACTACATGAAGGCACTTAGGCCTCCTCAGTACTGGTGGCCCTCTACCACTACCAAAGGCTCCTGGATTAGTCCAGGCCTTAAAGGCCTTGGGGCTTATTCTGGAGCCTTAAGGCTCCAAAACCACCTCCTCGTGGAGTATCATTCCCTCCCCCCACTGGTCAAGTGTGCTTACATACATGTCTTCACTCCAGACCCGACCAAGGCCTTCCTCCAGGCAGATTCCTTCCCCCATTCCAGCTGAGGCCTCCTGGAGGAACACCCTCCCCCGCAAACTCCAAGGCCAAGGCCAGGAGCCTCCTCTCCGGCCACCTCCCTCCTTTCTCAGCTTCTCCCACAGCCAGGACTATGATGTCCTCCCTCAACTTCACCCTAGCTCTGCACCCCACCCCCATCATGCCCAGCAGTCTGTCAAGCCACGGGTCTTCCCTGTCCCCCAAGCAGTCTGGCCTGCTTTCTCCTTTCAAAAATTTACAGTGTCAGTCCTTCACATTGTGGGCCCGTTTCCCTCATCAGACTATCTCATAGTATCCACCCTGCTGGCGGGCCTTCCTGGGCCCATTTGGCAGTAGGCCTCCCTGCCTCTGTAACCCACCAGATGAACTCGGGTCCAGCAGCCCAACTACTTGCTTCCCCCTTCGCAGTCCCTCTAGCGCCCCAGGCCGCCTGCCTTGGCTGATCAGCCCCAATTGCCCATCCACCAAGGTCCAGCCCTCCCTTGACGGCCGCACTCAGGCCTGGGGCCTCCGTCCACTCGCTTTCGGACCAAGGCCTCTGTGCAAGGCCTCTTCCCCTCGATGCACCCCTTAACACTCCCGCCCCTCAGTCTGAGACCCTCGGGCCATCGCCTGGCCAGGGGTCCTCATCGGCCCTTCCCACCAGCCCGTTGCTCCAGCCTTCCTGGCTTGCTGAACAGCTCCCAGCCCTTCCACTAGCTCTCCGCCTTCCTCCCGCTCCGGCCCGTCCGAGCGGATGGTCCCGTGGACCCTGGCGCTCCCCGCTCTGCAGGTAGCTCCGCCGCTCGGTGGGTTCGGCAGCCACCAAGGCCCCGATCACCCGTGCGCTCCGGTCAGCTCTGATCCGTAAAGCAGGCCGCGGCGCCCGGAGCCTCTCGGCCCGTCCCCCAGCCCCGCTCCATCGCTCCAGAGACCTCGGTCCCACCCCGCCCATCGGCTGGGCCCCCGGAGTCTCAACAGCCCGGGTGTGTCCGGCAGACCTTGGAGGCCCCGACCGTCGGTCAGTTTAGGTGGCCCCAGGCCTGGTCTCCTAACCGCACCGCAGAGCCTGCCAATCTCGGCCCCTGGCCCGGGACAGCCTGGGCGGCGGGGCCAGCCCGGCCCGTCGGTTCGACATCTGAGACTGCCCGGTTCGGTCCGGCCCGGCTGATTGTCAGCTCGGTGCCCGCAGCTCGGGCCTGCCAGTCCGGCCTCTGTCGCCCGGGCCCTGCCTACTTTGCCCTGAATCGGGCGCCCTGGCCTCGCCCCCCGCGCCCCCCAGCCAAGCCGCGGTGCTGGTCCACTTGCTCGTTTGCTCTCGGTCTCTGTCCAGCCCTGTCAGTCATGGAATTCGTGCTCCGACCCAACAATCTGGCTTGGAGTGCCTGGGGCCGGGCCTTGCCCCGGGCCTCTCGGCCTCGCCCCCCGCGCCCCCTGGCCGCTGGGCCGCCCCCGCTCGTTGTCAGAGGTAGCCCCTCACCCCGCGACTTACCCCACACCCCGCTCTCCAGAACCCCCATATGGGCGCTCACCGCCCGCCCGCACAGCTCGAACAGGGCGGGGGGAGCGCTAGGGCCCGAGGCCGAGCTCTTCGCTGGCGCCGCCTCCCGGGACGTGGCCTCCATGGTCGTTGCCGCCGCTACCTCACAGAACCAGCAACTCCGGGCGCGCCAGGCCTCGGGCGCCGCCATCTTGGGGAGGTGCGCGAGCCCGAGAGTGACACTCGCAGGCCGCCATCTTGAAAAGGTCAGCAGTTAGGACGGTTCCATAAGCGATATAGGTAAGACTGGAAACTTCGGCGAGAGGACTGCCGGACAAATTAGCATGATCTTCCGTACTCCGGGGAGTTGCCATGAGAATCAATCATTTCCGTCCATGTGTGTGGGCTCAGAGCAGATAAGTAGGTATTTCTTAGCGAAGCTCTCGCTGGGGCCGACGCCGGCCCCCCCTCCCCTCTGCTCCGGGGAGATAGTACAGGCCAATCTGAGCGTGTGTTCAGGACCGCGGCGAGTATGCCGCACTTCCGGCGAGGTCGCCGGATATCCGCCGCGTGACCCTTACGAGTCCTTGCTCCTGAAGCGGAGTTGGTGCTTTTGTGTGTTTTTGGTGTTGAGTCCAGAACCGTTGCTGGGCATGGGACTGGAGGACGAGCGAAGGATGCTGACTGGATCCGGAGATCCCAAAAAGGTAAGGCAAGGCAAGGCTGTCGGCTCGGCCCTGCTTGCCCGGAGGCCCCGGACCCTCTGACTCAGGCCGCGCTCCCAGCCTAGGGCAGACCTTGGGAATCCACCGAGTGCCTTCGCGCGGGTGGATCGCTAGTTCTGGGTTTTTTGTTTTGTTTTTTCGAGGCCTCGGCTTCTCCGTTCTGTGAATGTGGTGAATGTTTAGCGGGAGCGAACTATGCTGTGCTGAACTTACACGGGCAGAGGTAGAATCTGTATTTTCAGCCAGGTGTTCAGAGGTCCACCTGTGACGGCTTTGTGGAACGATCAGACCAACGACAGTCCTTACCCCAGCTCCCGCCAAGAATCCCCACGACATCCGGGGGGGGAGGGGGGTTCCTGGCATCTGACTCTGTATTACTTTATGTATGGGGGAGGAGAAAGCGCGGGGAAATGGTGTTCTCCGGGGTCAGTGTAGAATTATTCTGCAGTCTTAATTCTGTGGTCAAACTTGAGCGCAGATATACCGATAATAGACACAGCCTACTCCCAAGTGTTTTAGGTTTCCTAATACACTTAAGTACACATTCCTATATGATAATATTTTGTTGCCAATTTTACAGATGTGGCAACCTAGGTTAAATATCTTAAGGGTACATAGCTAACAAAACTGCAGTTACTAAGGAGCATGGTTTGAGAGCCAGGAGTATTGCCCACAATGCTACACAAGTTTAGAAAGGTCACTGAGGAGACTAGAGACAGAAGATGTGTGGCTCAAATGGTTGAGCTCTTGGGGGAGGTCCTGAATTCAATACTCAGAATTGAAAAAAAGAAAGAAAAAAATCACTAGGGACTGGGACATGGTTCAAGTGGTAGAGTATCTGCCTAGCACAAGCACAATGTCCTTATTTCATTCCTCAGTACTACCAAAAAAAAAATTAATCTTGGTTGGGTAAGGTGTCTCAAAAGTGTAATTTTAGCTGCTTGGGAGGGAGGTAGAGATGGGAGGATCACAGTTTGAGGGCAGATTAGCCAAAAAGCCAGGTGTGAGGGCATTCTAGTTATTTTTGCAATAGCTGGCCTCAAACTTGGAATCCTCTTGCCTCAGCTTCCAAGTGCTGGGATTACAAGTGCATACCCAGAGTCCTTCATATCTTTTATGACTTGGCTAATCACAGTAGTCTCCTTAAGAGGAAGTAATCCAAAGTCAGAGAGAACAGTAGTAATTATTCAACATTTTCTGATTTACATCCAAACTGTCAGATATTCATATAAGATTTATAGAACTTAAAAGTTTTTCTTTCTTTCTTTTTGGTTGGTCATAGGGCTTGAACTCTGGGCCTGAGCGCTGTCCCTGAGCTCTTCAGTTCAAGGCTAGTGCTCTACCACTTGGGCCATAGCACCACTCCCAGCTTTTTCTGTGTATGTGGTACTGAGGAATTGAACCCGGGGCTTCATGCATGCTAGGCAAACACTTTACCAGTAGGCCACATTCCCAGCTCCAGAACTTATTTTATTCAACATATTAGTTAACTCTACCATTGCTACAAATAGCTAAATTTAGTCCTTACATCTCAAACCAAGTTAGGGGGTAGAAATTGATTTTCCTAGACTCTGGACTTGAATTTGAAATTTGAAACTGGTCAAACCTAATCTTTTCTTAGGCATGTATACAACCTTAGATTTTGTTTGCTTTCACGGGAAGCAGTGTAAAAATATTTCCCAAAGGAGCCAGGCATTGGTGGCTCATGCCTGTAATCTAGTTCTTTAGGAGGCTGAGATCTGAGGATCATGGTTCAAACCTAGCCCAGGCAGGAAAGTCTGTGAGACTCACCTCCATTTAACCACTAGAAAACCAGAAGTGGCACTGTGGCTCAAAGTGGTAAAGTGCTAGCCTTGAGCAAAGGGCTCAAGGATTCTTCCCAGGCCATGAGTTCTAGCCCCTGACCGACAAAAACAACAAAAAAAATTCCATAGGAACAGATTTAGGTCAGATGTAGGCACAGGCCTGAGGCCTAGCAGAATCTAATCAGTGTCTCAACAACCTGTCAGAAGAAAGGGGTTTGCCTGCCTGTGCATGCAGATGTCCACCATCAGGGGAAGGAAAAGAAAGGTATGTAGGGAAGTTAATAACAACAACAACAACCAAAAACCCCAAACAACAAATAGCTCCCCAACCAACAACTCACTAATCACTAGTTGCATAATTCCAATATTTGTTTCATTCTCTACAAGCAGGAAACCTGTAAGTGAAGAGTAGGATATGCTCTAATGTAACCCTCTTTTTTTTTTTTTTTTTTTTTTGGGGTCCAGTCATGGGGCCTGAACTCTGGGCCTGGGCGCTGTCCCTCAGCTCTTCAGCTCAAGGCTAGTGCTCAACCACTTGAGCCACAGCGCCACTTCCCGCTTTTTTCTTTTTGCTTGTGTGGTGCTGAGGAATCGAACCCAGGGCCTCAGGCATGCAAGGCAAGCGCTCTGCCACTGAGCCACCTTCCCAGCCCACTCTCTTTATTCTATCTTATTGTTGTTGTTGTTGGTTGTGGGGCTTGAACTCTGTGCTTGGGCACAGTCCCTCAGCTCTTCAGCTCAAGGCAAGCACTCTACCTGATCCACAGCGCCACTTGCAGTTTTCTATTGGTTAATTGGAGATAAGAGTCTCACGGACTCTCCTGTCCAGGCTGGCTTTGAACCGTGATCCTCAGACCTCAGCTTCCCGAGTAGCTAGGATTACAGGCATGAGCCACTGTGCCTGGCTTAAAACCTTTTTAAAAATGAATTCAAGCCTCTTGCAATAGCTCACGCCTATAATCTTAGCTACTCAGGAGGCTGAGATCTGAGAAGCCAGCCTGGGCAGGAAATTCCTTTACATTCTTTTTTTTTTTTTGGGTCCCATCGTGGGGCCTGAACTCTGGGCCTGGGCGCTGTCCCTCGGCTCTTCAGCTCAAGGCTAGCGCTCTACCACTTAAGCCACAGCAGCACTTCCGGCTTTTTTCTTTTTGCTTATGTGGTGCTGAGGAATCGAACCCAGGGCCTCAAGGCATGCAAGGCAAGCGCTGTACCACTGAACCAACTTCCCAGCCCCCCTTTACATTCTTATCTCCAAAAAACTACTCAGAAAGAGGCAGAAGTGGCAAAGTAGCTCAAGGGGTAGTGTACTAGCCTTGAGTAAAAGATGCTCAGCGACAGCACCCAGGCCCTGAGTTCAAGTCCTAAGAATGGGGGAAAATTTTTAAAAATTTGTACTGAACCAGGTACCAGTGTCTCACACCTGTAATCCTAGCTACTCAGAAGACTGAGATCTGAGGATTGCCATTCAGAGCTAGCCTGGGCAGGATAGTTTGTGAGACTTTTCTCCAACTGCTGAAGAGCTGGAAGTGGATCTGTGGCTCAAGTGGAAAGCACTAGCTTTGAGCATAGAAGCCAGGAACAGTGCCCAGACCTGAGTTCAAGCCCCAAGAACAGTGCATGCGCGCATGCACACACACCCACGCACGCGCACAAATCATAGTGAATAAAGTTTTCTCCTAAAAAAAAAAACTAAAATGAGGGTTAGAGGTATGGCTTAGTGGTATAACATATATATAGTAGCATGCTTAATTAAGTTCCTGGGTTTAATATTCAGCATCAAAAATAACAAAACAAAACTAAAACCAGTCAGGTGCAAGTGACTCACTCCTGTAATCCTAGGTACTTAGGAGATAAAGCATAGAGTTGTAGTTCAAAGCTAGTCTGGGCAGAAAATCTGTGAGATTCTTAGCTCCAATTATCCAGTTAAAAAGATGGAAGTAGAGATGTGGTTCAAGTGGTAGAGCACCAGCCATTAGTAAAGAAACTAAGGGAGGACTGGGAAGATGGCTCAGTGGTAGAGTGCTTGCCTTGCATGCATGAGGCCCTGGGGTTCAATTCCTCAGCACTACATAAGCAAAAAGAAAAAGCTGGAAGTGGTACTGTGGCTCAAGTGGTAGAGCGCTAGCCTTGAGCTGAAGAGCTGATGGACAGCGCCCAGGCCCAGAGTTCAGGCCCCATGACTGGACCCCAAAAAAACAAAACAAAACTAAGGGATAGCACCCCTGCCTTAGTACTGGCACCAAAAAAAAAAAAAAAAAAGGAAGACCTTAAGTTAGTATCCTATAAGCATGACCTTTATGTCAGTCCCCTATTAGCAATACCAAAACACTGATAATTTGGTGTCATTGGTAATTTTTAGAAGAAATATATATGTGTGTGTGTATATATGTATATGACTCAGACAAGTCTCTATACCTATCTGTACATCTCTATCTGTGAGTTGGTACTGGGGCTTGAACTCAGGTTCCCTCCCTCTCACTCATGTCTGGCACTGTAGTATTTGAGGCACGTTCACTGGTATGTTTTAGAAAAACAACCCCAAATATGTCTATGGGCTGCTTCATGTAAAATTTCAAATCAGTGAGAAAAACAGGCTATACTAGATTAATCCTCAAGAATCATGGATCCATCATAAAATAGCCCAGTTTTCTTAATTTTCAAATTGTCTGCTTATTTACTTTGTTTCTCTTGTCTGCTTTGGTTGACTGTGCTTAACTTCATGAGGCTGGCCCCACTTCTTTCAAATTATATCATTAGGAAGAATTAAAAAGCATATTTCTAGCTATTATGCTGTGGTTTCTATGTGTTCAAGGTCTTTCTATATAGCCCAGGCTGCCCTGGAACTTGAAATCCTTCTGCCTCATCCTCTGAGTGCTGGGATTATAGACATGTACTACCGTGCCCAGCCAGATTTCCAATTTTTTTTTTTTTAAACTCTGGGCCTGGGTGCTATCTCTCAGCTCAAGGTTAGCGCTCTACCACTTGAGCCACAGCGCCACTTCCAGCTTTTTCTGTTTATGTGGTGCTGAGGAATTGAACCCAGAGGCCTCATGCATGTGAGGGAAGCACTGTACCACTGAGCCACCTTCCCAGCCCCAGTTTCCAATTGTTTTGAACCTACAAACCTAAAATGGCTGCCCTGAAGTGACCAGAGGACAACAGAAAATGAGATAAAGCGAAACACTACTGGGGCTGGGAAGGTGGCTCAGGGGTAGAGCGCTTGCCTTGCATGCTCGAGGCCCTGGGTTCGATTCCTCAGCACCACATAAGCAAAAAGAAAAAAGCCGGAAGTGGCACTGTGGCTCAAGTGGTAGAGCGCTAGCCTTGAGCTGAAGAGCTGAGGGACAGCGCCCAGGCCCAGAGTTCAGGCCCCACGACTGGACCCAAAAAAAAAAAAAAAAAGCGAAACACTACTGAGGGTTTTTTTGTTTTTTGTTTTGTTTTGTTTTTTTTGGTTGGTGATGGGACCTGAACTCTGGGCCTGAGCACTGTCCCTGAGCTCTTCAGCTGAAGGCTAGTGCTCTACCACTTAAGCCACAGCACCCACTTCTGTCTTTTTCTCTGTATGTGGTGCTGAGGAATCGAACCCAGGGCCTCATGCATGCAAGGCAAACACTACCACTGAGCCACCTTCCCAGCCCTGGTTTATTTTTTTAAATTAATTAATTAATTAATTTTAAATGACGGCCCTGTGTTTACTGTTGTTAGGCAGGCTCTATGCCACTTGAGCCACAGCTCTTTTATTGCCCATTATTTTCCAGGTAGTCTTGTGTTTTTGCCCAGGGCAGGCCTCAGATCATAATTCTCGTATTCTAGGTCCTTCTGTGTACCTAGGATCACAGCAGTCTCCACACGACAAAACAAAAACAAACAAAAAGAATTTATTTCCTATAACTCCTGAGAGAAAGAGACAGCACATGGTGCAGTGCTATATTGGTAGGAGAAAGGAATAGGAGGAAAGCCTTGGTTTCTGTGGGAAGAAATAGGTAAGGCATGATAAACAAATGTGGTCAAATTTTTGTTATGTCTAGCATATAGGGTTGGTCCCCAAGTTGTACTATGTGGCTTTGGGCAAGTTAGGCAAATATGAGGTTGGGATGTGAGTCTTAAGTGGTTAGCTGAGTGGGTTTTTGACTCACTAGGTTGCACGTGAAAGGTATATATATGTTCTTTAAAGAGATCAATCTTGTATGACCCCCTAACATTATGTAGTCCTGGGAAGTCATGATTAGTCCCAAGATTGGCAAGATATCACAGCACCATAAAAGTACAGTGAGCAAAGTAACATGACATTCAGGATCGTTGAGAAGAAAATATGTCATAAAATTGTTGCTGACATTTTCTTTGCTTTTGTAGGGAGAAGAGGAAGAGGAGGAATTAGTGGTGAGTATTGTCTCAGGTGTGGAACCATCTAAGTAAAAGCAGGATTTTAGGCATCATGAAACTAAGGGAATTTACAGCTTGGAGAAAATGAGAGTGGGAAAAGTCTTTAATACTTCCTGTGCAGTGGTATATTTGGGGGTGTAGCCCTGGAAATCTTATCTATTCTGGATTTCAAGGATTCTGCAGTCAGGAATCAGACAGAATCTTGATGGCCTGACACCATTCACCTGTATTTGTGGTTTAATAAAAAAAATCCTGGTAGTTGGTAGTATTAATTCAGGAGGTTAAGACTTGGAGGATTGGGGTTTAAAGGTAGTCCAGTAGAGTGCTAGCTTTGAGCTGAAGAGCTCAGGGACAGAGCCCAGGCCCAGAGTTCAAGACTCACAACCGACCCAAAAAAAAAAAAAAGTTTGCAATTCTTCAATTCCAGTTAACCAGTGAAAAGCTAGACTATCTAGGCACTGGTGGCTAGTGCCTGTAGTATTAGCTAGTCAGAGGAGGAGATCTGAGGATCACAGTTAGAAGAAGGTCCAATTAACCATCAAAAAAAATGGAAATGAAGCTGTGGCTCAAGTGGTAGCATACCAGCCTTGAGCCAAAAAGCTCAGGAACAGTACCCAATCCCTTAGTATAAGCCCCAGGATTGGCATAGAAAAAACAGCACCAGTGGCTCATACCTGTAATCCTGTCTACTCAGCAGGCTGAGACCTAAGGATTATGATTAAAACGCAGCCTGGGCAGGAAATTCCATAAGACTTTTCTCCAATTAACTACTCCCCCCCCAAGAAAAAACAACCTGGGAATTAAAATTCTGGTTCAAGCCAGGCGCTGGTGGCTCACGCCTGTAATCCTAGCTACTCAGGAGGCTGAGATCTGAGAATCGCGGTTCAAAGCCAGCCCGGGCAGGAGAGACCATGAGACTCCTATCTCCAATAAACCACCAGAAAACCGGAAGTGGCGCTGTAGCTCAAGTGGTAGAGCGCTCGCCTTGAGCTGAAGAGCTGAGGGACAGCGCCCAGGCCCAGAGTTCAAGCCCCACGACCGACAAAAATAAATAAATAAATAAATAAAATTCTGGTTCAAGTGGTGAAGCACTATCCTTGAGCAAAATGAAGCTCAGGGATTACACCCAGGCCCTGCATGTTGTGCGCATGCATGCACACACACACACAGAGACACAGATTGATTAAAGGTATGGCTGAAGTAGTAGAGTGCTAGGCCCTGAGTTTGTGAAAATACTGTACAGAGGGGTTACAATTACATGGGCTAGATAACTAGTAATTTCTTATCAAGCATTGTAGCCTCCTTCTTTGTTTCCCCTTCCCATCCCTTCCCATCCTCCCCCCACCCTCCCATCCTATCCTCCTTGTCCCCCCCCCCATTTTTTTTTTGACTGGCAAAAAAAAAAAGGAAGAAGCTGCCGGTGGCTCAAGAGGCTGAGATCTGAGGATCACACACAGTTCAAAGCCAGCCTGAGGCAGGAAAGTCTTAGCTCCATTAACCACTCAGAAAACCATAAGTAGTGCTGTGCCTCAAGTGGTAGAACGCTAGCCTTGAGCTGAAGAGCTCAGGGACAGCACCTAGGCCCAGAGTTCAAGCCCCAGGACTGACAAGAAAAAAAAGTAATGCCTCCAATAGATCTACTTCAAGTTTGACCAGCCAGTTTCCTTTACCACCTTGTTTTTCAGATAGGACTGAGGCTTTCAGTATCCTGTATCAGTATCTGATCATAACTGCTTAGGATCAAAATTGAATGAGAGACCCCATTCTTCCATTTTAGAAGGCAGCATGGCTTTGCATATATATTTAGTGGATCTCCCTGAAAGCCTCTGTCTTCCTGTTTCTCTTTTAGGATCCCCTGACAACAGTGAGAGAGCAATGTGAGCAACTGGAGAAATGTGCAAAGGCCCGGCAACACCTAGAAGCCTGTCAAGCGCGTGTATCCTCTCGATCACAGACAGAAGAGGATTGCACAGAGGAGCTCTTTGACTTCTTGCATGCAAGGGACCATTGTGTAAGTGAAACTGAAGCAGACTGTAAGTCAGGAAGGCCAATGCTTACAGAGTCGGGTGATATTTGGTGCTAATAGTCTTTCCATGTTTGAGGCAGGCTCATCAGTAAGTGGTAAAGATTAGGCAGGATTGTGTAATTAAAATGCCTACTTCCTTTGCAGATAGGTATTATTCCTATTTTACAGATAGAAGCCAAGACTAAACACTGCTAAACATTTGAAATACTAAATTTTGTACTTTTGTGTGTGTGGTGCTGGGACTTGAGCTTAGGGCCTTGTGTATGCTAGGCAAATGCTCTACACAGCTTTGGATTGCATGAGACCCTAAGTTCAAACTCCAGTACCTCTAAAAGAAAAGGGGGGAAAGGAACAAACAAAAAACCCAACCAGGGGCTGGGAAGGTGGCTCAGTGGTAGAGCGCTTGCCTTGCATGCATGAGGCCCTGGGTTCGATTCCCCAGCACCATATAAGCAAAAAGAAAAAAAGCCGGAAGTGGCATTGTGGCTCAAGTGATAGAGCGCTAGCCTTGAGCTGAAGAGCTGAGGGACAGCACCCAGGCCCAGAGTTCAAGCCCCATGACCGGACCCCCCCCCCCCAAAAAAAAAAAAAAAACACAACCAAGGGTCTGGGAAGGTGGCTCAGTAGTAGAGTGCTTGCCTTGTATGCATGAGGTCCTTGGTTTGCTTCCTCAGCACCACATAAACAGAAAAAAGCCAGAAGTAGCACTGTGGCTCAATTGGTAAAGCACTAGTCTTCAGCTGAAGAGCTGAGAGACAGCACCAAGGCCCAGAGTTCAGGCCCCATGACCAAAAAAAAGGAGGAAAATAAAAACCCCAAAACAACCCTGACTGGGTAGCTAGTACGTGTATGAGAAGATGTTTAGTATGGGGTATAAGAGTGCTTTGCTAAGCTGGGCACCGGTGTGTCATGTTTGTAGTCCTAACTACTCAGCAGGCTAAGATTTATCGTAGTTTGAAGCCAGGCCCAGTAGGAAAATCTGTAAGACTCTTATGTCCAATTAAACACACACATACACAAAGCTGGAAGTAGAGTTGTCGCTCAAGTGGCAAAAGTGCTAACTCTGAACATAAAAAGTTCAAGGATAGCACCCAGGCCCCAAGTTCAAGCCCCAGTAATGGCACCAAAATAAAAAAAGTGCTTGCATAGTAGGGGCCTGGGATTGATCCCAAGTATTAAAAGATGGGAGGTAGATGAATGTTGGAGAGGATGTAGAGAAACTAGAAATTCTTCATGGCTGGTAGGAATGTAAATTGGTATAATCACTGTAGAAAACAATCTGGTAGTTCTTTAAAAATATAGAGATAAGTGTGATGACATACATTTGGGAGTCCTAGCTGCTTGGGAATCTGAGGCAGAAGGTCACGTGAGCCAAGAGTTTGGTGCCATATTGTGCCACATAGTGAATAGAGTGTTCATCTGTTCATAGCATTCATTATTCATAACAGATAAAAGGTGGAAATAATTCAGGTATCCATCTGTGGATGAGCAAAAAATTTAAATGTGGTACATGAGAATATTAAATGTGGTACAAGAGAATATTACTCAACGTTAAAAAAGAAGGAAGATCTGACATATGCTACAAGATAGATGAAGCTTGTGGACATTGTACTGAGTGAAATGGTTTAGCCACAAGGATAATTTTTTTTGGCGGGGGGTCGGTTGTGGGGCTTGAACTCTGGGCCTGGGCGCTGTCCCTGCGCTCTTCAGCTCAAAGCAAACGCTCTACCGCTTGAGCCACAGTGCCACTTCTAGTTTTCTAGTGGTTTATTGGAGATAAGAGTCTCATGGACTTTCCTGCCCAGGCTGGCTTTGAACTGAGATCCTCAGATCTCAGCCTCCTGAGTAGCTAGGATTACCGGTGTGAGCCATTGACGCCCAGCTAAGAATAAATATTTTATTGCTCTATTTTTATGAGGTATTTTGAGTAATCACATTTACAAAGTAGAATGGTAGTAACCAGGAACTAGTGTGGAGGAGAAATGGAGAGTTGTTTAAGGAATAGGAGTTTTGTTGTTTTTTTTTTTTTTTGGTCGGTTATGGGGTTTGAACTCTGGGCCTGGGCGCTGTCCCTGAGCTCTTTAGCTCAAGGTGAGTGCTCTACCACTTGAGCTACAGTGCCACTTCCTGCTTTCTAGTAGTTTATTGGAGATAGAAGTCTCACGGTTTTTCCTGCCTGGGCTGGCTTTGAACCTCGATCCTCAGATCTCAGCCTCCTGAGTAGCTAGGATTACAGGCGTGAGCCATGGTGCCCGACTGAATAGGAGCTTTTTTTTGTTTTGTTTTGTTTTTTTCTAGTCTCAAGGTTTGAACCTCAGGACCTTGTGCTTAGTTGGCTGACACTCTACTGTTTGAGCTATGAGCCATTCCTCCAGCCTGGCTTTTTGTTGGTTGTTTTAGAGATAGTCTTTCAGACTTTTCTGCCCAGGCTAGCCTTGAACTATGATCCTCATCCTCCTAAATAGCTACAATCTATAATTGTTATATCCAGCTTGAAGTTAATCACTAAACTGTAATAGCATATGTAACCTCAAGATTGCATTCACAGACCCCCTAATATTTCAAACTTCCCCTCACATACTTTCCCCCAGTTTCCTTACAATATTTACCGCTACATAAGTTACTTTGGCCAGATATGGTGGCACACATCTGTAATCCTAGCACTCAAGAGGCTGAGGTATTAGAATCCTGAGTATTGGGTCAGCCTGGGCTATACTAGTAAAAGTCTGTCTTAGTTTGAAAAACAAAAGTTACCTAAACTTGTTTACTACATTTCCTTTTTTTTTTAAATTGTTATTATAAAGGTGATATACAGGGGGTGGGGATTTAGCTCAGTGGAAGAGCACTTGCCTGGTAAGTGCAAAGCCCTGAGTTTGGTCCTCAGCTCTGGAAAAAAGAAGAAAAAAAAGCTATAAAAGGTGATTATCTAGAGGGGTTACAGTTAACATAAGTCAGTTAGTAAATTTCTTTTTGGACAATGTCAATGTCACCCTTTTCTACCTTTGTTTTTTTTTTTTTTTTTTTTTTGGTTGGTTATGGGGCTTGAACTCAGGGCCTGGGCACTCTCCCTGAACCTGTTTGTACTTATGGCTAGCACTCTACCACAGGAGCCACAGTGCCACTTCCAGTTTTTGAGTGATTGATTAGAGCTAAGAGTCTCATGGGGACTTTTCTACCTCGGCTGGCTTCAAACTCCGATACTCAAATCTCAGCCTCCCCAGTAGCTAACCATTGCCGCCTGGCTCTACATTTCTTAAGCAACAGAGATATTGTCATGTTTATAGCTATAACTCTCATAGCACTTAGAACAATACTTGGCATATAGTAGAGTAGATATTTTATAAATATTTATTGAACTTATTTTACTGTCATTGTGTTGGGAGGTACAAGTTTCTATGGAGAATTCAAGAGGGATACATTTTAATTTTTTAAAATTTTTAACTTGTTGGTTGTGGGTTGTGAACTCAGGACCTAGGTGCTCTCTCTGAGCTCTTTTGCTCAAGGCTGGCGCTCTACCATTTTCTAGTTTTCTTTCTCTATTACTCCATTACTGGGTTTTCTGGTGGTTAATTGGCAATAAGAGTCTCACAGACTTTCCTGCCTGGGCTGGGTTTGATCTGTGATCCTCAGATTTCTACTTTCTAAGTAGCTAGGATTACAGGCCGGAGCCACCAGTGCCTGGCCAGAGGTGACAGATTTGTATGACAATAGGGGTTTATTTAGAGAAACCTTACAAAAAAATGACATGTAACTTCTAAAGGAGGAATAAACAATGGAAAACATGGGAGAGGTCCAGATATCAGGAATAGATTGGAGGGCTGAGAAGGTGGCTCAGTGGTAGAGTGCTTGCCTTGCATGCATAAGGCCCTGGGTTCGATTCCTCAGCACCACATAAGCAAAAAGAAAAAAAGCTGGAAGTGGCGCTGTGGCTCAAGTGGTAGAGCGCTAGCTTTGAGCTGAAGAACTAAGGGACAACTCACAGGCCCAGAGTTCAGGCCCCACAACCGGACCCAAAAAAAAAAAAAAGGAATAGATTGGATAACTTAAGAGGAGCTCATGAGGGCCCAAGGGCACGATTGAGTAAGGAAAGGGAAATGGTAAGAAGGGGAGTGGTAAGAGACAGGACTGGTATTATTTCAGGTCATGAAGGCCCTTGGTAGCCATGATGTTAAAAATGAATTGATGACATTCATTTCTTTTCCCCCTCTAGGTGGCCCACAAACTCTTTACCAGCTTGAAGTAAATTTGCAGACTCATTCCAGACTATCAAATGGGCATCAGGATATTAACCTTCTGGTTTTGAACATGCCATTTCTAATGTGTACAACTATAAATTCCTGTGGACTTTGGATTCTGGTTTAGGAGCATCTATGTAATTAGTAGTGATGTATCTTAATAAAGTCCTATGATCTGCTGGCCTGCTGCCCGTCTTTTTTTGTTATCTTAATATTTTTGCAGTACTTATTGAACTTAGGATTTCACTGATGCTAGGTGTTTTACCACTGAGTTACATCTCTGGATCCTTTTGAGACAAGGTCGTGTGTGTGTGTGTGTGTTTGTTGGTCCTGGGGCTTGAACTCAGGCCTAGGTGCTGTCTTGAGCCACTTGAGCCACAGCTCCACTTTCAACTTTACGTTCAAATACTGGAGATAAGAGTCTCACAGGCTTTGAGCATGGTTCAAAGTGGTAGAGCACCCAGCCCCTGAGTTCAAGCCGCACAACTGACCAAAACAGTAAAAGAAAGAGGCTCAGGCTTTCCTGCTGGGGCTGGCTTTGAATCATGATCCTCAGATCTCAGCCTCCTGAGTAGCTAGGATAACAGACATGAACCACCAGTATCTAGTGGAAAGGTCTTATTGAGTCTTTTGGCAATGAACTCTCAGACTTTTCTGCCCAGCCTGGCCTCAAACTGTAATTCTCTAGATTTCAAGGCTCCCAAGTAGCTAGGACTACAAACAGGTATGTGTCATTGTGTATGACTCCTTTCCTTCAGTTTGAAATTTTTTCCTTTTTTTGTGGTGACTTGAACCTGTAGTCTCATGGATGTTGGGGAAGAGCTCTGCCACTTAGCTGTGTCAACCATCACCTGAAAATATATGACTTAGTGATAGGGGCTTTATATGTGTGTGTGTATAATATATATGTATATAATATATCCCTTGATGCCATTATCACAATTTATAAGAATTGTTCAATATTAAATGCCTATTTCATTTTTTTTTTTTTTTGTCGGTCGTTCAAACAGGTGTCTTGTCTCAAAGGATATTTTGGGCAATTTTCTGGTTTCACTGTACAGTAAGCTTCCTACTGTTTCATTTTTTAAATTTGTGGTGGTACTGAGATTTGAACTCATGGCCTTGTGCTTGCTAGACAAGTGCTATATTACCTGGCAGTGTGAGACACACAAGTGCTATACTAGCTGGCAATGTGAGATACACAATCTTTTTAGCTTTAGTTCTGGACAGTCTTAAGTTTTTTTTTTATTTTTTATTTTTCCGGTCGTGGGGCTTGAACTCTGGGCCTGGGCGCTGTCCCTCAGCTCTTCAGCTCAAGGCTAGCATTCTACCACTCAAGCCACAGTGCCACTTCCGGCTTTTTTCTTTTTGCTTATGTGGTGCTGAGGAACCGAACCCAGGGCCTCGGGCTTGCAAGGCAAGCACTCTACCACTGAGCCACCTTCCCAGCCCATGGACAGTCTTAAGTTTTTGTGCCAGCAAGACCTAACCAAGATCTTCCACTTTTAGGCCTCTTACGTGGCTGAGATCACAGGCATGCATCACCACATCTAGTATTGGCTGAGATGAGATAGGAATCTTGCTGATTTTTTGCTTGGCTGACCTTCAAACCATAGTTCTCTCAGTCTCTGAAGTAGCTGGGATTACAGTTGTGAGTCACCATATCCAGCCTAATTTTCTTTTTGTGCTGTATTGGGTCTTGAACTCAGGGCACGGGTGCTGTCCCTGAGCTTTTGTGCTCAAGGCTAATGCGTTACCATTTGAATCAGCTCTGATTTTAGGTTTTTGCTGGTTAATTAGAGATTCCCCCCCCCAGTTATGGGGCTTGAACTCGACCTGGGTACTGTCTTTCAGCTCAAGGCAAGCGCTCTGAGCCACAGAACCACTTCTGGTTTTCTGGTGGTTAATTGGAGATAGGAATCTCTCAGACTTTCCTGCTGGGCTGGCTGTGAACCGTGATCCTCGGCTCTCAGCCTCCTGAGCAGCTGGGATTACAGGCGTGAGCCACCGGTGCTGGACCCTAGCTATTTCTTTAGTACTCAATCACTAGCTCTCAGGCCACCCCCAGCTGGGTTAGACGCCTCTATTGGAGTCCCTCGCACTTCTCCAGGCATCTGAGAGGAGCCAGCATTCTGGAGGCCGGGCTGCTCTCTTTTCCAGCACCCCCCCCCCCCAGTCCCAGCCAGCGGGACGCGGTCAGTGGCGCCTGCCGTGGGAACCGGGCCGGGGGGTGGGCGGGGCCTGGAGAGGGAGCGCCTCCACCTTGGCTCCCTCCTCCGCCTCGGCTCGCTCAGGTCCCGGGAGGCCCGGAACGCCTGAGTCTGCCGCCGTGGTTCCCGTCGGAGTCACCGGCGGCGCACACCGCCATGGCTGCTCCCGTGTGGAGGCGTGCTGGCGACCTGCTGCAGCGTGCGGGCTTGGCGCCAGTCCCGCGGCGACATCGACATAAGAAGAAATGGGTAACGGGGTCGGAAGGGGGGGGGGGGGTGCGGAAGAACCGTCATGCCTTGCGTTTTCTTGCTTTTGCGCCTCGCCGCCCGCTCGCACTCCTAGGCCTTGCCCGCGGCCCCGCCCGGAGCGCCGTCCTCGCCGCTCTTACGTCACGGCCTCTTCCGGCCCGTTTCCTCCTCACCCGTCTGCGTCCCTTGGGTTTTAGCCTCTCTGGCTTCTGCCCTCCGGGTGTCGGTGCTCCTCTTGACTCCGCCCCTTTAAGTTACGTCATCGCCAGAGCCCTCTTTCTTTCCGTTACGTCTCTGCCTGGTGGTCTTTCCTCGAGCCTATCTTTCCCTAGCCCCCCCCAACCCCTTCCCTTCCCCTCCCTCCCCTCCCCTCTCCTTCCCCCCCTCTCCTCTCCTCCTTCCCCCCTTGTCCTCTCCTCCTTCCCATGACCTCTTCTCCTCCTTTCCTTCTTGAACTTTCAGCCCAGACACCCTCACCCCACGAAAAATGTGACTTACCTTTTTCTCCCGGGGTTCCGTTGCCCCGCGGGAAACAGTTCAGCCCTGTTCTCACCATCAAGTTACCTCTGTCTTCCGGGAAAGGTTGCAGCGACCACCTTGCCCACCCTACCAACCTTTCCTCCAAGGCCGGCAAAAGGTGCACCGACCCCCCTCGCCCCAGAGACCCTTATGCTTGCCCCACTTCTCCCTGCCCTCCCAGACGGCTCCCTTCCCCACCCCCACCCCCACCCTCTTCTCCCTCAGGGAGATGTTCTTTTGAGCCCTTCTCCCCACTCCTTGGAAAGCTCTACTGCCAAGAGCCTAGCATGTCTGGTTCATCGCCTCAGAGCCCTTGTTCTAACCAGCGTAACCTTCTGGGGTCACCCACTGTCCCTCAGCAGAGTGCTTATTGCAGCTGGATTAGCCCCCCACGACCACAGCGACCTTTTCTTCGAAGCCCTGGCATTGACCAGCACGCTTACCTCTGTTACTGTGGTTCAGTGATTCCCCCTCCCCCTACTCATCAGCCCCCAATAACCAACCCGGTGATCTCTCCTCAGCTCATTCATGTGCCCTTGGAAACTGGCCCAACTATTTCACCTCCTTTAACTCAGGAGGCCCAGGGAACTCCTCTTTCACCTGCTCTTCCTCCTAAACCCCCAGTAACTGTGCTCACATTTTCACCTCCTCTTGTTCATCGGGTAGTAGAAACTAGACCTATCATCTCTACAACTGTTTCTCACAGGGTTTTGAAAACCGGGTCTGTGATCTCTCCTGTGCTCTCTCAGTGGTCCTCAGGGAGAGGTTACCATGATCCTCCTCTCTCCTCAGTGTCTTCGCCACCTAATGGCAACCTTTACTGTGGTTCACTTAAACCTCCAGACTCTGATGAACCCAGTCTACAGCTTGATAGGCCCTTTGGAAAAAATTGTGGCTCTTCACTTCCTTCTCAAGCAGACAAGCCTGGTTTTCCCAGCTCACTTCAGGAAAACACTTTACATTACTCCCATCTTTCTGCAGAATCTCACATGTCTGTCCCTGGGAACCGTTACTGTACCATCAATGTAGCTCCTGATAATACTCGTTCTCCTAGCTCATCTCAGACCCAGGCTCCCAGCAAGCCTTGCTTTGAGCCCTTTGTCTCCTGGGAAGCTGGTGGAAACTCTTACCTCTTACTAACCCCAAGCACTGTGATTTCCGTTCCTCCTTGTCCCCCAGAACCACCTCTTTCTCACTGCCCTTATTCTGCGCTGTACTTCCCTTCGCCCCTGGGCAACCAGTTTATGGCCCCACCCCAGTCACCCACTCAGAGAAGCTATAAGGAACCTCCTCTCCCTAATCCAGTACCCCCCCAAATGAAATCTCCCAAATTCTCGGAGTTAAGACAGCCACACATGCTCCACAGATGTAACTCCCTAATTAACATTCCTCAGCACACCTCTCCTCAGACCAAGCCCCCCATGGTCAGCATCTCTCCTCCGACTCCCTCCCAACCCTCTGGCAGTTCTGATCCTTCTTGTACTCAACCATCCACCACAACTCCTTCAAATAGTTGTCCCAAAGAATCTCCCCCTAAAGTTACCTTAGTACCCACTGTGGTACCTGGAGTCATTGAAAGCGTTGTCCCTGGATCTCTTCCTCACTGCCTGCCACATGATCCTGCCTTACCAAATAATTATGCTAAAGGTAGTGCCCAGGTACCCGCCCTGGTTCCTCCCTGCAATACCCATCACTTCTCGGTGCTTCCTTCCACCTCCTATCCATGCCCACTTTCTAGTTCCCTCAGTCACCCTGCAGGCTCCCCTCATAATCTCCCTGTGGCACCCCCCTGTTGCACATATGGTGTTCCCAGAGGCCCACCCCTACTTCACTGCAAGCCTGTGATGCCTCCTTGTTCAACCCATATCTATTCTTTTATCCCTCTGAGAACACCCTTTGACCCCCAGTGTTTACCCATTGTCCCCCAAACTCGGCCCTGCCCTAATGTTCCTTGTGGCCTTCATACCTATTCTGTGGCCTCTCAGGGGCCCTGTAAAGAATCTCCTCAGGTCCCCTACAGCTGTCATTTGCCTTCAGCTAAGACTTCTATCTGTACCACTAATCCCAGCTGTAGTTCAACAGTTATCAGTGTTTTCAGTGACTGTGAGAGTAGTGAGAGCCAGAACAAACTTCAGAATGAGGACAGAAACCAGGATCAAAACAAAAATCCCAGATATGGCAAGAGTCCCCATCGTAGCAAAAGTCGGAGTCGAAGCAGTAGTCCTCACCAAAGAGTAATCGAGATCCGGAGTGGTATTCCCAAGGTTAGCACTAATCAGGGCGAGAGTGAAAATCACCATGGCAGAAGTCAGAAAGAGAGCAAGAGTCCTCACAGTAGTAAGAGAAAGAATCCTCACAATGACAAAAATCAAGGTCATAAGAAGAATTTCCACCGTATCAAAAGTCATGGTCAGAGCAAGAGTCCCCAAGTAACAACAAAGGAGTGTCCGTGCAAAAATCCTGACCAGAACAAAAATTCAGGCCAGAACACGGTCTCGGACAATAACAAGATGGCCGACATTAGCAAGCATTCCAGCTGCAGTGACCAGGACTTCTCAACTTGTGGACATCTCAACTGATACCTTCATTTCCTTTTTAATCTACCTTTATGCTCTTCAGATCATATTCACGGTCCCTCAATGCTATCCCCATAGCAGTCATCCTAGAAGTCCCTATTTTGGCTTACACTGAAGGTTCTTATCACTGAAGGTGATTATCCAACCTTCCTGGGGTCTGAGAATTCACCCCAAACAACTTTCAGTCCTGTGATTCTGAGCATTATGGTGCGTGATCTTAGGTAAGTTACCTTTTCTCCCATTTTGCTATTAAATGTGGAAAGGTTTTTTTTTTTTTGTCATTGTTTTTGGATATTGTGCAGCTAATAGATATGAACAGTTTTGGGGAAATAGAATTGTACAGAGGAAAGTGTTTTGTTTTTGTTTTTGCCAGTCCTGGAGTTTGAGCTCTGTGCCTATGTACTGTCTCTGAGCTTCTTTTGCTCAAGGCTAATACTCTACCGCTTCCAGATTTTTCTGAGTAGTTTATTGGAGATAAGAGCCTCATGGACATTCCTGCCTAGGCTGGCTTTGAACCTCGATCCTCAGATCTCAGCCTTCTGAGAAGCTAGGATTACAGATATGACCTGTTGGCACCTGGCTGTTTTTTGTAGTTGGTGGTGGTGGTAGTGATGGTGGTCGTGGTGGGGTGCTGCCCGTGAGCTCTTTAGCTCAAAGCAAGTGCTCTGTCACCTGAGCCACAGAGCCACTTCCAGTTTTCTGGTGGTTAATTGGAGATAGGAGTCTCATGTAGTTTCCTGCCCCACTGGCTTTGAACCATGGTCCTCAGATCTCAGCCTCCTGAATAACTAGGATTACAGACATGAACCACTGGCGCCAGTTTTTTGTTTTTTGGGGTTTTTTTGTCGGTAATGGGCTTCAACTCTGGGCCTGGGTACTATCCCTCAGCTCTTCAGCTCAAGGCAAGCACTCTACCACTTGAGCCACAGTGCTACTTCCGGTTTTCTAGTGGGTTATTGGAGATAAGAGTTTCATGGACTTTCCTGCCCAGGCTTTCTTTGAACAGTGATCCTCAGATCTCAGCCTCCTGAGTAGCTAGGATTACAGGCGTGAACCACTAGCACCGGGCTGTTTTTTGTTTTTAAACCCCAAACTTCCAGCCTTCTATAGACTCTCCTCAAGTACCCTCCCTTGTGCTCCCATTTTCTTAAATTCCTCTGTTCCATCCTTGCAGTGTGGGGGATTGAACCCAGGGCATTGCACATGCTAGGTAAGCAGTTTTAACACTCAGGGGCAGGTAGTTCAAGGCCCAGTCCCCCCCCCCCCTTTTTTTTTCTCTCTGTCTCTCTCTTCTCCTCCTCCTCTTTTTCCTCCTCCTCCTCTTTCTCTTCTTCCTCTTCCTCCTATTCATCTTTTTCCTCCTCTTCTTCTTCCTCCTCTTCCTTTTTCTCTTCCTTCTTCAGACATTTTCTTATTATGTAACCCAGTTGGTCACCTACTTGCCATGTAGCCTGAACTGGCCTATGATTCTCCTGCTTCTGCTTCCCAAATGCTGGGATTATAAGTGTGGGTCATCCCATGTAGCTGTATGCTCCCTTATTGATGACCCCTCCCCTGTCATTGCTGTGAAAGATAGAGCTTTCACAATCCTGAAATGAGAAGGCCAACTCTTCACTACTTTTTCCTCCCTAACTTCTTCAACAGGCAGAAATAATATGCAGAGGGAGGAGTGGGGCTAGGTGAATTCTGAGTTTACCCCTACACTCTGAGGTATTGAGGGGAGTCAGACAGTAGGAGATAGAGACAAGACTGGGAAGATCAATAAGCCTGCTTTTTCTCTTTTAGGCTGCTACCGAGCCCAAATTCCCTGCCAGTCGGCTGGCTCTACAGAACTTTGATATGACTTACAGTGTGCAGTTTGGGCCTCTTTGGCCATCAATCCGTGTCAGTCTCCTCTCAGAGCCAAAGTATGGTGCACTGGTTAATAATTTTGCTGACTGGGATAATGTGAGAACTAAGCTGGAGCAGCTGAGTGCCAGAGACTTTGTGAATGAAGCCATCTCCCGTAGGGAACTGGAGCCTGAGAGTGGCCACTCTGCAACCCCATTCCCAGCCTGCAGTCCTAATCTCAGATGCTTCACTTTCGCCAGAGGAGATGTCAGCCGCTTCCCTCCTGCCAGGTACTATCTGGACTCACGCATGGCTCAGGCTTTCCTCAGGGTCTGCCCGAAAGGGGCATCTAGGGATCTAGCTCTTGTCCTTGGTAATAAGAATCATAATATTGTTATTTCTGGTGTGCTTATGAGACTAGGCGTTTATCTAGATGCGATGCATGTTACCACTGTTTGTTCTGTTAACAACTTGTGATAGTAGGTAAAATTACTCTTCTTTTGCATTTGAGGAGAAACTGAGACACAAAGAAGTGAAGGTATTACTTACTTTAAAGCCTTCAAAGAATAAGTGGTACAGTTTATAGTTAGACCCAGGTAGTCCAACCCCAGAACCTGCATTTTCAGTCTGTTCTCCTCTACCTTTTTCTGAGCAGCCACTGCACCCTCTGTAGTTCAAATGCATATATTATTCACAGTTTTTGTTTTTGTTTTCCAGTTCTGGGACTTGAACTCAGGGCCTGGGTTCTGTTTCTGAGCCTTTGTGCTCAAGGCTAACACTCTACCATTTAAGCCACAGTGCCACTTCCAGCCTTTTCTGTTTATGTGGTACTGAAAAATCAAATCCAGGGCTTCATGCATTCTAGGCAAGCACTCTACCACTAAGCCACATTCTCAGCTCATAGTCACAGCTTTTTTTTTTTTTGGTCAGTTATGGGGCATGAACTCTGGGCCTGGGCACTGTCCCTGTGCTCTTCAGCTCAAGGCTAACGCTCTACCACTTGAGCAACAGTGCCACTTCTGGTTTTCTGGTGGTTTATTAGAGATAGGAGTCTCACGGTCTCTCCTGCCCGGGCTGGCTTTGAACTGTGATCCTCAGATCTCAGCCTCCTGAGTAGCTAGGATTACAGGCATGAGCCACCAGCGCCCGGCCAGTGCTCTACTTCTTCTTTTTTTTTTTTTTTTGGGTCCAGTCGTGGGGCCTGAACTCTGGGCCTGGGCGCTGTCCCTTAGCTCTTCAGCTCAAGGCTAGCACTCTACCACTTGAGCCACAGCGCCACTTCCGGCTTTTTTCTTATGTGGTGCTGAGGAATCGAACCCAGGGCCTCGAGCATGCAAGGCAAGTGCTCTACCACCGAGCCACCTTCCCAGCCCCCAGTGCTCTACTTCTTGAGCCACAATGCCGCTTCTGGCTTTTTTGAGTACTTTATTGGCGATAAGAGTCTCATGGACTTTCCTACCCAGGCTGGCTTCGAACTTGGGATCCTCAGATCTCAGCCTCCTGAGTAGATAGGATTATAGGCATGAGCCACCTGTGCCCAGCTCTAAAGAACTGTAGTCTCTTGAGTTCAATGTGCATATACATGAAGTTGAATCAGAAAAGACTGCAGAATCAGGTGCTCAGTTGTGCTACAGAATTCCAGACAATGAAGCCAGATGTTAGGCATTGCCATAGTCCCAACACTCAGCAGGCTAAAGCAGATGGATTAAGAATTTGAGGCCACCCTGGACTACATAGTAAGATAGTAGAGAGGGAGAGGGACAGAGAGAGAGAGAGAGAGAGAGATCACTCAATTTATAATCAACATTGAGGGAAAGATCATTGAAGGACTGATTTGTTCTATAAATATTTATACCACATTTTTTTTTCCTGGTCTTGGGGCTTGAACTCTGGGCTTGGGTGTTATTGCTGAGTTGTTTTTCAAGACTAGTGCTCTACCACTTAAGCCACAGCCCACTTCCTGCTTTTTCTGTGATTAATTGGAGATAAGGGTCTCACTGACTGACTTGCCAACCCAGTCTGGCTTCTAATGGTGATTCTTAGATCTCAGCCTCCTGAGTAGATAGGATTACAGGTGTGAGCCATTGGTACCCAGGTGTTGTACCAGGTTTTTAAGTGCCCAAGTTACTGGTAAACAAACCCTCATAGAATGTCTAGTCTAGTGAGGAAGACACCTGTTAAAAAAATCTATTTATGCTGGACATGGTGGTACATGTCTGTAATCCTAGCTATGTAGGAGGTAGATATGAGGATAATCATAGTTTCAGGCAAGCTCTGACAAAAAGTTAGTGAGATCCCCATCTGAACAAAACAAAACTGAGCATGATGATTCAAGTCTGTAATCCTAGCTAACAGGGAGGCATAGGTAGGAAGGCTGAAGTCTGAGGTCAGTCCTGGGGGATAAAGCAAGATGCAATCTGAAAAATAACTAAAGCAAAAAAAAACTTGGGGGTATGACTCAAATAGTAGAGTCATTACCTAACAGATATGAGGTTCTAAGTTCAAACTCAGGACCAACAAACAAATCAAAAACCTGTTCACAATTTTAAGTGTTATAAAAGTACAAGATGCCATGAAGTATTTTGTGTGTGTATGTGTGTGCTAGTACTGGGCCTTGAACTCAGGGCCTGGGCTCTGGACTTGGACTTGGACTTTTTGCTCAAGACTGACACTGTACCAATTGAGCCACACCTCCACTTCCGGATTTTTACAAGTTAATTGGAGAAAAAAAATCTCATGGATTCTTGCCTTTGAACCTTGATCCTTAGATCTCAGCCTTCTGAGTAGCTAGGATTTCGGGCATGGTATTGAGGTTTGAACCTAGGTCCTTAGACTTAGTAGACAAGCACTCATCATTGGAGCCACACTCCAAGTCCTCTTTGCTTTAATTATTTTTGGATAGGGTCTCAGGTTTTTGCCTAGGTTTGCCTCTGCTTCCCAAGTAGCTATGTTTATAGGCATACTCTACCACGCCTGGCATGACCTGGAATTTGAGAGTAGTCTCCTTTCTTTCAGACTTGGCAGTTTGGGTGTCATGGATTACTACCTAATGGATGCTGCCTCCTTGCTGCCTGTCCTGGCTCTTGGCCTACAGCCTGGGGACACTGTGCTTGACCTGTGTGCAGCCCCTGGGGGAAAGATGCTAGCATTACTTCAGACTGGCTGTTGTCGTAAGTCAGGGAGCTGGTTTGTTGGGCAAAGAGCACTGTTCACCTAGGGCACATGGAATATGGTGAACTTACAGGTTGCTAGGTCAGAGGGGCAATAGTGCTTGCTAAGTACATATATTTTTTTGTTGTTTGTAATTATTTCTTCCTTGTCTCTGTCATTTATCAAGAAAGATTGCTGACAAGGCCTCTGAAGGCAGATTACAACAGGGTTCTGCTAAATCAGTCATGTGATTCTTCTCACCTTTCCTCATCTGTTTACTTTGTCTCTTTAGATTAAGTTTCATTTCCTTGACCTACCAGCTAAAATAAAACAGTAAGATCTGGCTGTAGCCACTATTTATAGTTTTATCTTTCACTCTTCCTCAAGCCTCATGAGCATCAGCCACATCCTGCTACTCTGTTTCCTGAATAAGCCTTTGCTCACATTACATTCTCTCTCAAGAATTCCTCTACCCCACCCCAGGTGGGTTGTCTAAAATCTTTTATCTTTCAAGCCTCAGCTCAAGTGCGCCACCTTCAGGAAGTTTTTCCTCATAGTCTCTATTGGCCATGCCAGAAATGATGCCTGTGCTTCACCATTGCCGGTTACCACTGTTAACACACTAGCCTTGCCTCACAGCTTTACTGGATGTGTCATCTCACTGTTCAGGATTATTGATAGCTGAGGGCAGGCCCAAAGTCTTACTTATCTCAGTAGATTAGGCCAGCCATGGCCTGTGTACTGTACATGCTTGGTTTAGCTATCTACCAGCTCACATCCTACCTTAAACAGAAATACTTCTCCTTGGGGCCTTGAGAAATAGCCACAAGGGACTGTGATTTTTCAGATTCAACTAGAGTTCAGCCAAGCTTCTCTCTCTTTTTTTTTTTTTTTGGTGGGGGGGGGAGGTTTCGGTCATGGGGCCTGAACTCAGCCTAGGCGTTGTCCCTGAGCTCTTCAGCTCAAGGCTAGCGCTCTACCACTTGAGCCACAGCGCCATTTCCGGCTTTTTTTTTTTCTGCTTATGTGGTGCTGAGGAGTCGAACCGAGGGCCTCATGCATGCAAGGCAAGCGCTCTACCACTGAGCCATCTTCCCAGCCCACAGCCAAGCTTCTCTTGCCATGTGCTCAAGCCTTTGTGTTAGGCCTGAATTCTTTTCTTTCTGGTGGTGGTGGTGGTGGTTGTTCTCCTCCTCCTCCTCCTCCTCCTCCTCCTCCTCCTCCTCTTCCTCCTCCTCCTCCTCCTCCTCCTCCTCCTCCTCCTCCTCTTCCTCCTCCTCCTCTTCCTCCTCCTCCTCTTCCTCCTCCTCCTCCTCCTCCTCCTCCTCCTCCTTCTCTTCTTCTTCTTCTTCTTTTTTGGTTAGTCATGGGGCTTGAACTCTAGGCCTGTGAGCTCTTCAGCTCAAGGTTAGTGCTCTACCACTTGAGCCACAGTGCCACTTCTGGCCTTTTCTGTTTATGTGGTGCTGAGGAGTTGACCTCAGGGCCTCATGCATGTGAGGCAAGCACTCTTACTGCTAAGCAACTCCAAGCTCCTTCTTCCAGTTTTTATCAGCCAGCTTATACAGTGTGGGTGGGGGGTGAGGGGGTTGCGTGCGTGTGCGCATGCACAGGTGGGTTTGGACTCAGGGCCTTTTGCTCTTTTCTTGGCTTTTTTTGCTCAAGGTTAGTGTTCTGCTATTTAAACCACACTTCTACTTCCAAAGTTTGTACAGTTTGAATTTAGCCTCCAGTCTTATGGTAGACCCATGGGTGACTCAGAGAGCTATTGCATTTAGCTCAACCTTCTGCGAATCCAGAGAGAGAAGAGAAAAAGAAGTTGATGTGGGATTAATGAATCTAATGAGGAGAGTTCTGTTCTTCTTGAAGGAAGATGAGTGAAGCAAAGGTTACTTTGAAGAGGAAGAACTTGAGCTAAGAGGAGGGACACAAGGTCAAAGGAGAAGTAATTGAGAATTACTATTCTTTTTTTTTTTTGTGTGTGTGTGTGTGGTGGGGTCGGGTCGTGGGCCTGAACTCTGGGCCTGGGCGCTGTCCCTCAGCTCTTTAGCTCAAGACTAGTGCTCTACCACTTGAGCCACAGCGTCACTTCTGGCTTTTTTTTTCTGCTTATGTGGTGCTGAGAAATCGAACCCAGGGCCTCATGCATGCAAGGCAAGTGCTCTACCACTGAGCCACCTTCCCAGCCTGAGAATTACTGTTCTAAGGTACACTGAATACCAGCACCTTTCTTTTTTTTTTTTTTTTGTCGGTCATGGGGCTTGAACTCTGGGCCTGGGCACTGTCCCTCAGCTCTTCAGCTCAAGGCGAGCACTCTACCACTTGAACTACAGCGCCACTTCCGGTTTTCTAGTGGTTTATTGGAGATAGGAGTCTCACGGTCTTTCCTGCCCGGGCTGGCTTTGAACCGCGATTCTCAGATCTCAGCCTCCTGAGTAGCTAGGATTACAGGCGTGACCTTCCTTCCTTCATAGGTAGTTTGGCCCTTGCCAATCTTTACTCAGAATAACTCATTCAGGGCCATGTACATAATAAATCAACATTCACCCTGAGGTCTGCATAGACTAGGTGTACCTGAGTATTGGTCTCACTCTCATCACCATTGCTAGTGCAATGTTCTGCTGGTTCAGGGATCTGAATCATCTTTATTTCCACAGGCAATATTGCTGCCAATGATATCTCCACCTCCCGAACAGGCAGACTACAGAAGGTCCTTCAGAGTTATGTACCTCAAGAATCCAGGGAAAGGAATCAAGTTCGAGTCACCTCATGGGATGGCAGGAAGTGGGGAGAACTAGAAGGGGACACTTATGACCGGGTGAGTGGTTCCAGACTGAAGAGATCTATTGAGATAAATGTGACCTCTTCTCCTGGTCTTGGGCTCCAAGCCATCCCCTGTTTTCAGTATGTAGGGATGCTTCTGGACCTGGCCAGTTCTGCATAGGTGATTTGGAAAAAATACCTGGGTGTAGAATTCTCAGTTCAGCTTAGATGACTTGTTACTATTCTGTCTTTATTAGAGACATATGGGACCTAAGTGCAGGAAAAAGTTATTAGGCATATTTATGTTATCTTTCAAGTCACATGGAGATAAGTATAAAGAACTGTTTTCTGTACTGGCAGTGGGTCCTGAATTCAGGACCTCAAACTCTCATTTAGCCTTTCACTCACAGTTGACACTCTATTGCTTGAATCACATGTCTACTTCTGGTTTCTTTGCTGGTTAATTGGAGACAAATAAAATCTGGGCTATTTTTGAACCTTGATTCTCAGATCTCAGCCTCTTGAGAAGCTACGATTATAAGCATGTGCTATTAGTACCCAGCAGTTATTTTTTTTTTTTTTGGGGGGGGGGTCCGGTCGTAGGGCCTGAACTCTGGGCCTGGACACTGTCCCTCAGCTCTTCAGCTCAAGGCTAGCGCTCTACCATTTGAGCCATAGCGCCACTTCCGACTTTTTTCTTTTTGCTTATGTGGTGCTGAGGAATCTAACCCAGGGCCTCAGGCATGCAAGGCAAGCGCTCTACCACTGAGCCACCTTCCCAGCCCCCAGTGCAGTTATTTTTGAATGTTAATGCAGAAACCAGTAAAAAATTCAGAAAGTTTATTATTATCATTTTTTTGGTTGTGGGGCCTGCATTCTGGGTTTGGGCGCTGTCCCTCAGCTCTTCAGCTCAAGGCTAGTGCTCTACCACTTGAGCGTCAGCCCCACTTCCTGCTTTTTCTGCTTATGTGGTGCTGAGGAATCAAACCCAGGGCCTCATGCATGCAAGGCAAGCACTCTACCACTGAGCCACCTTCCCAGCCCCTAAAATTCAGAAAGTTTAAAAGAGTGAAAAATTTCTTTTTCATTCCTATACATAGCCCTATACTTCCTCTCCTTGCTACAACCATTTGTGTTTGATGTATACAAATATAAATGTGTGTGTTCAAAAAATAGGAGAGGGCCGGGCGCTGGTGGCTCACGCCTATAATCCTAGCTACTCAGGAGGCTGAGATCTGAGGATCGCGGTTCAAAGCCAGCCCGGGCAGGAAAGACCGTGAGACTCCTATCTCCAATAAACCACCAGAAAACCGGAAGTGGGGCTGTAGCTCAAGTGGTAGAGCGCTCACCTTGAGCTGAAGAGCTGAGGGACAGTGCCCAGGACCAGAGTTCAAGCCCCACGACCGACAAAAAAAAAAAAAAAGAAAAAATAGGAGAGGGACTGTATAATACTCATTCTTTAGACCTTTCCTCTTACTTGGTTTGTGGAAATTGCACGGTTTCTTCTCTCTCTTTTAATTTTTGTGCTAATACTGGGGCTTGAGCTCAGGGCCTCATGTTCTTGCTTAACTGTTTTACTTAAGGTTGGTGCTCTTGAGCCTAGCGCCGGTGGCTCACGTCTGTAATCCTAGCTACTCAAGGAGGCTGAGATCTGAGGATCGCGGTTCAAAGCCAGCCCGGGCAGGAAACTCCATGAAACTCTTATCTCCAATAAACCACCAGAAGACCGGAAGTGGTGCTGTAGCTCAAGTGGTAAGGCTCTAGCCTTGAGCTGAAGAGCTGAGGGACAGTGCTAAGGCCTGGTGCTGTAGCTCAAGTGGTAAGGCGCTAGCCTTAAGCTGAAGAGCTGAGGGACAGTGCTAAGGCCTAGAGTTCAAGGCCCACGACCGACAAAAAAAAAAAAAAAAAAAGGTTGGTGCTCTATCACTTGAAGCACAGCTATACCTCAGGCTTTTTGCTGATTAGTTGGAGATAAGAGTCTTTTAAGAGATAAGAGTCTTTTCTGCATGGGCTAGCTTCCAGCCTGGATCCTCACATCTCAGCCCCTTGAGTAGTTCAGATTACAGGTGTGAGCCACTAGCACCCTGCCAAAATTTTTCTTTTTATATGCATTTTTGGATACTCCTTTGTTTATTCCTTTAGATTTCCCACTATTGAAGCACTTGATTTGTTCGTTTTGTGTGTGGGGGGGGGTGGGGGTGGGGGGGTCATGAGGCTTGAACTCTGGGCCTGGGCACTGTCCCCGAGCTCTTTTGCTCACAGCTGGCACTCTATCACTTGAGCCACAGCACCAATTCCAGCTTTTCCTGTGTTTGTGGTACTGAGGAATTGAACCTATTGCTTCATGCATGCTAGGCAAGCACTCTACCACTAGGCCACATTCTCAGGCCTGAATCACTTGTTCTAAGTGTTTTGTTTGTTTTGTTTTTTGGCATTATGAGGTTTGAACTAAGGGCCTCATACTTGCCAGGCAAGTGTTCTACCATTTGAGCCATGTCACGCCCCTAACCCTTTTTTTTTTTTGGTCCAGTTGTGGGGCCTGAACTCTGGGCCTGGGCGCTGTCCCTCAGCTTTTCAGCTCAAGGCCAGCACTCTACCACTTGAGCCACAGCGCCACTTTCGGCTTTTTTTCTTTTTTTTTTTTCTTATGTGGTGCTGAGGAATCGAACCCAGGGCCTCATGCATCCAAGGCAAGCGCTCTACCACTGAGCCACCTTCCCAGCCCCCCTAACCCTTTTTTTGTTGTTGGTGGTGGTCCTGGGGCTTGAACACAGAGCTTGGGTGCTGTCCCTGAGCTTTTCTGCTCAAGCCTGGTACTTACAACTTTGAGCCACAACTGTGCTTCCAATATTCTGGTGGTGGGTCTGGGAAGGTGACTCAGTGGTAGAGTGCTTGCCTTGTATGGATGAGGGCCTGGGTTTGATTCCTCAGCACCACATAAGCAGAAAAAGCCAGAAGTGGCGCTGTGGCTCAAGTGGTAGAGTGCTCACCTTGAGCTGAAGAGCTGAGGGACAGCACCTGGGCCCAGAGCTGACAAAAAACAGACAAAAATGAAACAAACAAACAAAAAAACAAACTTCCAATATTCTGGTAGTTAGTTGGAGACAAGAATCTCATAGACTTTCCTGCCCAGGCTTGCTTTGAACAAAAGTCCTCCTATCTCATCCTCCTGAGTAGCTAGGATTACAGGCATGAGCCACCGGTTCCCTGCTTCTTACTCTAGCCCTTTTTGTTCTAATTTTCAGTTTTATGTTTTTTTGCCCAGGCCAGTTTCAGACTGCCTGCAATCTTCTTATGGAGCTGGGATAGCAGATGTATTACCATATACTATGCCTGGCCTGTTTTTTTTTTTCTGGTCTTGGGGCTTGAACTCAGGCCCTAGACACTGTCCCTGAGCCTCTTTGTGCTCAAGGCTAGCACTCAACCACTTGAACCACGGCATTACTTCTGGCATTTTCTGAGTGGTTTATTGGGGATAAGAGTCTCATGGACTTTTCTGCCTAGGCTGGCTTTGAACCATGACCATCAGATCTAAGCTTCCTGAGTAGCTAGGATTATAGGTTTGAGTCACCAACACCCAGCTAAAGGCAGTATTTTCTTTTTTTTTTTAAGTTTGGCCAGTCCTGGGGCCTGAACTCAAGGCCTGGCACTGTCCCTCAGCTCTTCAGCTCAAGGCGAATGCTCTACTACCTGAGCCACAGCGCCACTTCCAGTTTTATAGTGGTTTATTGGAGATAGTCTCATGGACTTTCATGCCGGGGCTGGCTTTGAACTGCAATCCTCAGATCTCAGCCTCCTGAGAAACTAGGATTACAGGTGTGAGCCACTGTTTTTTTTTTTGTCCATCATGGTGCCTGAACTCAGGGCCTGGGCACTGTCCCTCAGCTCTTCAGCTCAAGGCTAGTGCGCTACCACTTGAGCCATAGTGCCACTTCTGGCTTTTTCTGCTTATGTGGTGCTAAGGAATCGAACCCAGGGCCTCATGCGTGCAAGGCAAGCACTCTACCACCCAGTCACCTTCCCAGCCTGGTTTTTTTTTTTTTTTTATTGTAAAGATACTATACAGAGGGTTACAGTTACATGAGTGAGGTAATGGGTACACTTCCTATTGAACATTGTTACCCCCTCCATTGTTTTCCCCCTACCATCCCTTCCCTCCCTACCTTCCCCGAGGTTCTTTTTTTTTTTTTTTGATTGTGATTAAGTGATTACATAATTTCCCGAATTTCACAGTATTGTGGAATAATGATGCTCATTTAAAGTCACAAGTTCATTCTAACTTTCCTGGAGCAAATTGTCTATCACAGTCTATAACATATAACAGTGTTCACATGTTATACACCATACATGCGATCAGCAGCATGGGGTTATTTAGTAGTGATTCGACCAGATGCGTGGGAGTTCTTTGTTTCTTAAGTCCTGTTAGTTTTGTTGTATCACCTAACATTTTGGATTTAGCATCCACTTATCAGGGAGACCATGTACCGTTTGTCTCTTTGCTCTTAGCTTACCTTGCTCAACATGATTCCTTCTAGCTCCATCCATTTCCCTGCAAATGCCATTATTTTGTCATTTCTAATGGCTGCATAATATACCATTGTGTATAGATACCACAATTTTTGGATCCATTCATCTGTGGTAGGGCATCTGGGTTGTTTCCATATCCTAGCTATTGTGAACAGTGCTGCAATAAACATGGAGGTGCACGTGTCCTTGTATGTTGGTTCCTGTTGTTCAGGGTAGATGCCTAGAAGTGGTATGACTGGGTCGTAAGGGAGGTCAATCTTTAGCTTTCTAAGGACCCTCCAGACTGCTTTCCAAAGTGGTTGTATACGTGTACATTCCCACCAGCCTGGTTGTTTTTTAAATAGAGTTTTAAATTTATGTTCAGACTGATGTGGATCTTCATCCTCCTATTATTCCTCCCTATTTACTCCTCCTGATTAGCTGGGATGACTGGACTGTGCCAGCACACCTAGCTTATATTGCTGTAGATAGGATTTGAGAACTCTTTGCCCAGTTGATAAACTGATCCTCCCAGTCTATGCCTCCTCCTTGCTCCAGCTTTTCTTCTTTCTCTCTTCTTTTTTTTTTTTTGACCTGAGGCTTGGGCCTGGACACTGTTCCTGAGTTTCTTTTGCTCAAGGCTAGCACTGTACTATTTGAGCCACAGCACTATGTCTGGATTTTTATGTGGTACCAAGGAATCAAACCCAGGGCTTCATTCATGCTAGGCAAGCACCCTACCACTAAGCGGCATTCCCAACCCCTCTCTTTCTTCTTTTTCCCTCCCTCCCTCCCTCTCTCCCTTCCTTCCTTCCTTTCCCTCCTCTCTTTCTCTCTCTCCGTCCTCTTTCTGTCCATCCCCATTCCTCCCCCTCTTTGGTGGTCCTGGGATTTGAAGAAGGTACAATTAAAATATCTATATGCGAAAATACGCAAACCTCATTCCTGTCTCTTCCCCAGCCCACAAACTAACGTAGAGCCAATAATATTTACTGAGAACTAAGTATCTTAAGTTCTATGTGGGCCTGAATTGATTTTCTTCCCTCCCTCCCTCTCTCCTTCCTTTCCCTCCCTCCCTCCTTTCCCCCCTCTCCCCTTCCTTCCTTCCTTCCTTCCTTCCTTCCTTCCTTCCTTCCTTCCTTCCTTCCTTCCTTCCTTCCTTCTTTCCTTCCTTCCTTCCTTCCTTCCTTCCTTCCTTCCTTCCTTCCTTCCTTCCTTCCTTCCTTCCCTCTTCTTTCTGTCCATCCCATTCCTCCCCCTCTTTGGTGGTCCTGGGATTTGAAGAAGGTACAATTAAAATATCTATATGTGAAAATACGCAAACCTCATTCCTGTCTCTTCCCCAGCCCACAAACTAACGTAGAGCCAATAATATTTACTGAGAACTAAGTATCTTAAGTTCTATGTGGGCCTGAATTGATTTTCTTCCCTCCCTCCCTCTCTCCTTCCTTTCCCTCCCTCCCTCCTTTCCCCCCTCTCCCCTTCCTTCCTTCCTTCCTTCCTTCCTTCCTTCCTTCCTTCTTTCCTTCCTTCCTTCCTTCCTTCCTTCCTTCCTTCCTTCCCTCTTCTTTCTGTCCATCCCATTCCTCCCCCTCTTTGGTGGTCCTGGGATTTGAACCCAGGGTATGGAACTTACTAGGTAAACACTCTACCACTTGAATCATACCCCATTGCAGTGATACTTTTTAGTATGGAATCTATGTAGTTGATTTTGACATTATATGAAGTGACATATTGGGTTTGTTTGTTTTTTTTGACCCTATAGGTTGGATACTAATGCCTACTGGTATACACAATATTTGGGCCTCTTAGTTTATTCCAGTTATACTTCCTTGGTGGTGGTGGTGGTGGTTGTGGTTGTGGTTGTGGTGGTTGTGTGTGTGTGTGTGTGTGTGTTGCATGTGCTGGCACTAGTGCATGAACTCAGGGCCTGGACGCTGTCCCTTAGCCCCTTAGCTTTTTCACTCAAGGCTAGCATATAGATCTACTTCTTGCTTTTTGTTGGTTAAATGGAGATAAAACTCGCATGGATTTTCTTGTCTAGGCTGGCTGGGAATCATGATCCTTAGATCTTAGCTTCCTGAGTAGCTAGGATTACAGGCCTAAGATTACAGCTAAGATTACCAGCACCTGGTTGATTTTGCCTTCTTTTTGGTCAGTCCTGGGGCTTGAACTCAGGGCCTGGGTGCTATCCAATTTTGCCTCTTTGAAACATACATAGAGGAGTATTTTTTATTTTTTTGGTCTGTTATTAGTGCCTGGAAAGTAGGCTCTTAACAAATAAATGAATAACTTGGACCTCATAATTTTGTAACTTAATCTTGAATCCTAATCCTACTGTCATCTCTTTGTATGATCTACAAATTGAATCTTTTCAATTAAGTAGCTGAGGAAAGGGTACTAAAACACTAAGATTTCTTTCTAGGTTGATAGTAATGCTTTAATAATAGCTACTTGTGTGGAGGGGTTTTACTTTTTAACCAGCCATGAATATTCCTAAATATGCTATTTTTCTACCTACTACTTCTCAGTTAAAATGAGAAACTTATCAGATAGTCTGTAGTGGTAGAAGGAACATTGAACAATGAGCAGAAAGAACATTCCACAGAACTTAATAGCTCTGACCTAAGCAAGAAGAGCCAGTAACCAGGCGTCAATGGCTCATGCCTGTAATCCCAGCTATTCAGAAAGCTGAAACCTGAGGATCCCAGTTCGAAACCAGCTTGGACACAAAAAAGAATCTTTAAGGAGCTTTAATACTTTCCCTTTAACACTCTGAGCAGGTGCTGGTGGATGTACCCTGTACCACAGACCGCCACTCCCTTCACCAGGATGAGAACAACATCTTTCATCGGTCAAGGAAGAAGGAGCGACAGATGTTGCCTATGTTGCAAGTGCAGCTTCTGGCGTGAGTAATAGAGTTGCAAAATCTTAGAACTTCATGCCAGAGTGCTCTACGAGGCTAGCAACTTGGGAGATAGTGGGCTGCAGTCTGCTTAACTAGGCCATGATCATGAGGGGTTTTCTGACTGGAAATCTGTCTAGAAGACAAAGACATGGGAAGGTCATTTTCTGGAACATAAAAACTCAATCTTTGACTTGGGTTCTTTTACCCTTAGTACCAATCACTTGCCAGTGTTTTTAAAAGTAGCTACTACAAGGTATGGTGATATTCACATGTAGCCCCATGAGTTGGAGCCTAGGAGTTTGGGGCCAGCCCAGATAACATTGTAAGATTCTGTCTCTTAGAAAAAAAGGAAACAGAAAACAGAGTACTAACAACAACAATAAAAATTACTGAGGTCAGGACTCTGGAGGGCTAATATGAGGATTCAGTTGATAGCCTGCATCAAGTTTCAAGGAATCATTTCAAGCAGGCCTTCTATATCTGGGTATGGTGTTACATACCTATAATCCCTATAATTTTGAGGCTAAGGCAGGAGTTCAAGGCTAGCCTGGGCTATATAGCAAGACTCTGTCTAAAAAAAAAGGAAAAGAAAGAAAAAAAAGCAAAGAAGGCCTCCTGGAAAAGAGCCTGTGGATGAAAGCTGGTTTGCTCTGTCCATCATGGAGTACACTGCCATGGCTTCCTATGTTGCTCTTCTACTACTGGGAAGCTCACTAGTTTTTACGTTTTTCTCTTTCTGGTTTCAGGGCTGGACTCCTTGCCACCAGACCAGGAGGCCATGTTGTCTATTCCACGTGCTCACTTTCACACTTACAGAATGAATATGTAGTACACGGTGCCATTGAGCTTCTGGACAATCAATATAACATCAAGGTTCAGGTGGAAGACATGTCTCACTTCCGAAAGCTTTTCATGGACACATTCTATTTCTTCCCTTCCTGCCAGGTTGGGGAATTGGTAATACCAAACCTCCTGGCCAATTTTGGCCCTATGTACTTCTGCAAAATGTGTAGGCTGACATAGCCTTACATTATGCCTGGAGTAGGAGGACAAAGGAGGCACTGCAGACAGACCTGTGGCAGAGATGTACTCTATGCTGTTCAAGTTTTTCTGCAGATAAATTTCTGCAGAAATTGGTCCTGCTGTCCAATTGTGGAATATTAGCAGGTTTTTAACTAATACTCCCACCCCTATCTCTAAGCCTGTACTGAAAGTTCCTGTTCCATTAGGGGTTTAGAAGGAGAAACCAGTGAGGAAGTTCACACTTTAAAATGTAAACTTGTAAGAAGCATTTAGCCAATAAAACCATTGAAGTACCATAGTGCTGGGGCTATGGGGCTATGTCAGTCCAAGTATTTTCATAGTTCTTTTTATATCACCTGTAGCTGGTGAGCATCACTCAAGGTGCTCAAGCCCAGGACCTCAAGACTGGGTAAAGGTTTCTGGTTACACACAAAGCAAGTCCACATTTGAGGTGAATTTTACCTGATCAGCCAGCAGATCCAGTACGCCTTCCTACTTCTCCATATGGCCCAGGATCTAATTTAAGGATCAAGTAACTAAAAATGTTAATCCAGTACATGATAATCTTCCTACTCACTTTGAGGAAGCTCTTCTGAGCTGAATAATTCTAGCCATTCCCTTTTGTGAAATGTGGCTGGAAAATTACTGCTAAAGAGATGTCACATTTTATGGATTTCTTTGTTTCTTCATTTAGCCAAAATACTCCATGAACTTAAAATTTTTTTTATTTTATTTTTGTTGTTGTTGGTTGTGGGTTTGAACCCAGGGTCTCGGTACTGTCCCTTTTGCTCTTTTGTTCTAGGCTAATGCTCTACCACTTTGAGCCACTTCTGGTTTTCTGGTGGTTAACTGGAGATAAGAGTTTCATGGTCTTTCTTGCATGGACTGGCTTTGAACTGTGAGTCTCTGATCTCAGCCTCCTGAATAGCTAAGATTACAGGTGTGAGCCACAGCACCCAGCATCCCATGAACTCTTTTATGACAAATAACTAGGTAATTGATAGATATGTAGCAATGGGATTGTGGGAGATAATCAGGACTCCTAATCCTGTTTTTTTTTGTTGTTGTTGTTTTTAATGCTAATATTGTGGCTTGAATTAAATACCAGGGCACTTTCCATTAGCTTTTTCACTGTACAACTTGAGCCACAACTTCCACTTCCAGCTTTTCACTGATTAATTGGAGATAAGAATCTCATGAGTTTTCTGCCTGGGCTTGCTTTAAACTGTGATCTTCAAATCTCAGCTTTGCCAGGTGCTGGTGGCTTACGCCTATAATCCTAGCTACTCAGAAGGCTGAAATCTAAGGATTGCAGTTCAAAGCCAGCCCAGGCAGGAAAGTCCATGAGACTCTTATCTCCAATAAACCACTCAGAAAGCCATAAATGGCACTGTGGCTCAAGTGGTAGAAAGGGCACTGTGGCTCAAGTGGTAGAGCGCTAGGCTTGAGTTGAAGAGGTGAGGGACAGTGCCCAGGCCCAGACTTCAAGCACCATGACTGACCCCCTCAAAAAAAACAAATCTCAGCTTCCTCCTGTGAGCAGCTAGGATTATAGGTGTGAGCTACCAGCATCCAGCTATGATGTTCTTTTTGAAAGAAAACATTTTTGCCGGGCGCTGGTGCCTCACGCCTGTAATCCTAGCTACTCAGGAGGCTGAGATCTGAGGATCGCGGTTCAAAGCCAGCCTGGGCAGGAGAGACCGTGAGACTCCTATCTCCAATAAACCACCAGAAAACCAGAAGTGGCGCTGTAGCTCAAGTGGTAGAGCGCTCGCCTTGAGCTGAAGAGCTGAGGGACAGCACGCAGGCCCAGAGTTCAAGCCCCGCAACCAACCAAAAAAAAAAAGAAAAAGAAAACATTTTTTATTAACCTATTTGCATATTACATAATCCATCTGTTTTAATTGAATGAATTTTGATAATTGGATATAATAGTATAGTTGTGATCACCATTAAGATACAGAAAATAGATTGAATGTGGTGAGGCAGACCGGTAATTTCTGCTCTGGTGAAAAGTAGGAGGATGGTGAATTCAAGACTGCATAACTCTTACAAAGAAGTAGATAAGAATTCTATATCCCAAAAAATTACCTTGTGTTACTGTGTGCTCAATTTCCTTCCCCATTTCTGGTCCCAGGTAACCACTGATGAACTTTCTGTCTCTATAATTTTGTGTATTGTAGAATTTCCTGTTGCAGAAGACAGTTTATTTACACCTAGATTTTGAAAGCTTTGGGTTTATCCCTGAGCATCTCACTTCTAATTTTTCACTCTTGGTGAAGAGAAGGGCATTGGGATTTATGAGAATCTAAAGGTCCTCTGGTGATTCTCAGGGTCAATTTACTGAGGATTTGCAAGTGGTCTAACTAGTTTTGTATGTGTAGCTTGATTACATGTTCTGGAGAGCATATAAGCTCCTAGGAACTTATCATTTGAACTTTCCCAAAGCCAGGAATCTGTACACAGATTGTGGTAATTAACCCTAAACTCCTCTCAGTTTAATTCATGTGTGAATAAGACTATGGGCTACTTGTACACAGGCTTTCTCTGATTCCTGATGCTTACCCATGTGACCTTTCTCTTGTTGCCCTGTGTCCTTTGCTTTTAAATTAAAATCGCAGGTTATGTTTTGTAAAGGTTGCTGAATGCTTCAAAATATCTGATATTGGGACAATTTTGCATGTATACATAGAATAATACAGTAGTAGTCTTTTTTTTTTTTTTTTGGTCGGTCAAGGAGCCTGAACTCTGGGCCTGGGTGCTGTCCCTCAGCTCTTCAGCTCAGGACAAGCGCTCTACCACTTGAGCCACAGCGCTACTTCCAGTTTTTTCTGCTTATGTGGTGAGGAATCGAACCCAGGGCCTCATGCATGTAAGGCAAGCGTGCTACCACTGAGCCACCTTCCCAGCCCCCAGTAGTAGTCTTTTGTGTTTGATATCTACCTGGCATACTGCTTTTGAAATTCATTTTGCTATTTTATTCTTTTATATTACTGAATTGTATGGCATGAAAATAGATAAACCACAGTTTATCCATTCACCAGGAAATGGACATTTGAGTTGCTTCCATTTTTTTGGTTATCATTAGTTAGGCTGTTAAGAACATTTGTGTACATGATTTTATGTGTACCAGTTTTATTGTCTGAGTAACTACTTAGAGGTGGAATTGCTGGGTTGTGTGGATGCTGTATATTGACTTTATAAGATATTGCCATATTATTTTCCAAAGTGGCTATACCAGTTGACATTCTTGTCAGTAATAGATGAGATTATCAGTTGTTCTATATCCTTGTAAATACTTAGTATTATTGTCTTGTTTGTCTGTCTTGCTATCTTATTGTGATTTTGATTTGTATTTCTCAGATGATTGGTAATTCTATAAGTTAACATATAACTGGGCTGAAGATCTGTAGTTAGTAGTAGACTATATATATATAGTGTATATATAGTATATATATATATATATATATATATATATATAGTTTTCTTGCATGCATGAGGTCCTGGGTTTGGTCCTCGCAACACCCCCCCCCAGGAAAAAAGGGGAAAAAAGATTAACACTGTGGGAATAAAGATAATGGTTTCCACAGGTCCACAGGGGAATAAAGTAGTACTGAAGGGAAGATAAAGTTAGATTGCTTTTTTTTTTTTTTGGGGGGGGGTCCGGTCGTGGGCCTGAACCTCTGGGCCTGGGCGCTGTCCCTCAGCTCTTCAGCTCAAGGCTAGCGCTCTACCACTTGAGCCATAGCACCACTTCCTGCTTTTTTTTTTCTGCTTATGTGCTGCTAAGGAATCAAACCCAGGGCCTCAGGCATGCAAGGCAAGCACTCTACCACTGAGCCACCTTCCCAGCCCTTAGGTTGCTTTTAAAGTTCTAGCTTTCATTCTTGGTGTTTGTCTTTAAAAAAAAAACAAACAAAAAACTGCCGGTTGCCTATGGCTCATGATCTTGATTCAAAGCCAGCCTGGGCAGGAAAGTCTGTGAAACCACCAGGAAACCAGAAGTGGCGCTGTAGCTCAAGTGGTAGTGCCTTGAGCTGAAGAGCTGAGGGACAGCACTTAGGCCCAGAGTTGAAGCCCCACAACAGACAAAAAACAAAACAAACAACAACAAAAAAACTTTACTAGAAAGCTATATATTAAAGCATGTTATGTGGGGCAAAAGTTGTGAGCAGATGTTGCAATTAGTCCAGTTTTGTCCTTGAAGTCCTCTCTAAAAAAAAGTAGAGAGCCAAGCTGGGCATTGGTGGCTCACACCTGTAATCCTAGCTACTCAGGAGGCTGAGATCTGAGGATCGTGGTTCAAAGCCAGCCCAGGCAGTAAAGTCTGTGAGACTTTCATCTCCAATAAACCACCAGAAAACTGGAAGTGGTGCTCAAGCGATAGAGCACTCTCCTTGAGCTGAAGAGCACAGGGACAGCACCCAAGCCCAGAGTTCAAGTCCCAAAACCGACAAAAAAAAAAAAGAGAGAGAGAGAACCAAGCCCCGAGAACATAATTGTGCCAAATATGGTTTAGTCTGGCCTGTGGGACTGGCCAAATCAAGAACCTGGAAGAGTCTAGGTGCAAGGCTCAAGGATTAGAGCATCTGTCCTATGGTAAGTACTTGGGAGGCTGAGGCAAGAAGGTGGGAAATTTAAGGCCAGTCTGGGCTAAATATTAAAACCCTCTAGAGGGTAGGGGGAGGATCAGGTTCAAGGAGGGGGGGAATATGGGAAGGGATGGGAAGGGGAAACAAAGAGGAGGCAACAATGCTTGATAAGAAATGTACTCATTATCTTGCCCATGTAATTGTAACTCCTCTGTACAGTATTCTCACAATAAAAAAAAAAAAACAAACCCTGTCTTTAAAAAATTTACATGGAGGGGCTGGGAAGGTGGCTCAGTGGTAGAGTGGTAGAGCGCTTGCCTTGCATGCATGAGGCCCTGGGTTCGATTCCTCAGCACCACATAAGAAAAAAAGCCGGAAGTGGCGCTGTGGCTCAAGTGGTAGAGCGCTAGCCTTGAGCTAAAGAGCTGAGAGACAGCGCCCAGGCCCAGAGTTCAGGCCCCACGACCGGACCCCCCCCCCCCCAAAAAAAAAGAAAAGAAAAGAAAAAGAAAAGGAGATAAAAAATTTACATGGAATCTTTAGGTTTTTTTGATTCTTATTTATTATTAATGATATCTTCACATAGTCATACAAGGGGGTTTTACTTTAATATGTCCATTTATGTGTACAATGCATCTTTCTTTCTTTCTCTTTCTTTCTTTCTTTTTCTTTCTTTCTTTCTTTCCTTCTTTCTTTCTTCCCTCCCT